TCCTTCACCAGGAAAAAGTAAAATGTGATGAAATCATCCAGTGGATTGTGCATCAGTTGGAACCAATAGAACTTTAGATGTATAAAAGCAACATGGATCTGAAAAAAAGAATTGGGAAAAAAAAAGTCAGAAATAACTGGACTTTGGGCTGGGGATGTGGCTCAAGCGGTAGCGCGCTCGCCTGGCATGCGTGCGGCCCGGGTTTGATCCTCAGCACCACATACAAACAAAGATGTTGTGTCCACCGAGAAATTAAATAAATAAATAAATATTCTCTCTCTCTCTCTCTCTAAAAAAAAAAAAAAGAAATAACTGGACTTATGACAAGTCTGTTATGTAAATTAGATGTATACATACAGGTACAAAACAACACTGCATATTTTACAAAGATATACTTTTATCTATGGACCTATATCCAGCACATTAGAATGCTTTGGAGGGAAAGAAGATTGAAAGAGGAGAATAAGTGAACAAGCATGGGGCCTACAGAAGCTCAAGGGTCCACTGTGCCCTGGGCTCTGCTCTCATAAGGCCTGAAACAAAAGCTATGATGGGGAATAAACAGTGCTGGGGGCACGCGAGAATGATGCCTGTCTGACCTTTCAGGATGACGAGCCAGAGCAGAGATGCTTCAGGAGGAGCCTGATTTGACTTAGGAGAAAGAGGGCTTCCAGAAAAGGAGAGTTTGTTATTGGTGACCATGAGAACTTTGTGAGTTTAAAAAGCTGGAAGGAGGTCAGAAGGGTCATGTGAGAAGCCACTGGGTGACTTGAGGCAAAGGGATCACAGTGCCAGATACAGCGAGCCTGTAAGTCATGTGGAAGGTGGTCAGTGACCATATCCACAAGTCAAGAAGCCCCACTATGGCCTCTGCATGGCCTGGAGCAGGGGCATACGGAAGAGGCCAGGGTTTACCCAGGAGAGGGAAGGGGTGACACCTACCCAATGGGTAGGGTGAGAGGCAATAGGGTGAAGGGAGAATGGGAGAGAGGAGACTGCCCATTGTCTCTCACATCTTCACAACCTCTACTTGAGGGCCACCAGGGAGTCCCTCCCGGAGTGCACAGGGCCTCAGGTGCCCACCTGCCCATCTTTTCAAGGCAAATTGCTCAGTGATTCTTTTTAGTTTATTTATTTAGTTCACTGACAAATAAAAATTGTATATATTTGTTGTTTACAACATAATGTTTGAAATATGTGTACATTGTGGAATGGCTAAATCAAATTAATTGATACATATATTACCTCATTGTTTTGCACTGAGAACATTTAAAATCTATTCTTTTAATGATTTTCAAATATACAATATGTTCGTATTAAGTATTGTCACCATATTGCAAATATATCTCTTGAACTTATTCCTCCAGAATAACTAAAAATTTGAACAAGTCAAAAATCCTTTGACTTGTTTCTTTCCAAGATCCCCCACCCATCCCTTTCTCTGTTCTTGATTGTCAGTGTTAAACCATATGACTGCCCTCCATCCCTTTCCCTCTGACCACAGCTTGTTGGTACAGAGGTGGACATCTGTCAAAAGGGCAACTAATCCCAAGGCTACTGAATGACCCCACCTAGTTTGAAACTATTTAAAGTTTTTAAAAGCTATGATAAATTTACTATTTAATCACTTTTATGGATTGGGGGCATTAAGTACATTCACAATGTTATCCCACCATTACCATTATCCATTTACAGAATTTTTTTCATCATCTCAAACAGAAGCTCTGTATCCTTAAAAAACAAACAAATAAACAATCAAAAACCTTTCCATTATTCCACCTCTCAACTCCTAGTAACTATTGTTCTACTTTCTGTTTCTAGGAACTTGACTATTCTCTAAGAACTTTACTTATTTAAGTGAAAGTATGACTAGCTTATTTCATTTGGCAGAAGGTCTTTAAAGTTCATCTATATTGCAGCAAATATAAGAATTTCATTCCTTTTTGTGGATGAATAATATTCCATTGTATGTGTTTTAGTCAGTTCTGTGTTGCTATGACCAAAAACCTGACAAGAACAATTTTAGAGGAGGGAGACATTATTTGGGGCTCATGGTTTCAGAAGTCTCAGCTCATAGATGGCCAACACCATAGTTTTGGGCCCAAGTGAGGCACAGCATCATGGCAGAAGGGCATGGAGGAGAAAAGGAGTTCAGGTCATGGGAATCATGAAACAGAGGGCTCTGCTCACCAGGAACAAAATATAGATGCTAAAGGCACAACCCCATGGGCCTACTTCCTCCAGCCACACCCTACCTACCTACAGTTACTGCCCAGTTAATCCATATCAGTGGATTAATGCACTGATTGAGTTAAAGCTCTCATAACCCAATCTTTTCACCTCTAAACATCTTACATTGTCTTACATATGAACTTCTGGGGACACCTCCTATTTAAACCATAATGGTATGTATATATCACATTTTATTTTCTCCATTCATCTGTGGATGGACATTTAGGTTGTTTCCACCTCTTGACAATTGGGACTCATGCTGCAATGAACTTAGGTAAACAAATATCTCTTTGGGATCCTAATTATCTGGGGATATATGCCCAGCAGTGGACTTTCTGGAGCCTATGGTAATTTTGTTTTATTTTTTGAGGATCTGTCCTATCTTCCATAGTGGCTCTACCATTTTATATTTCCAACAGTGTCCAAGTGTTCCAATTTCTCCACATTTTGCAAGCACTTTTTTTTTTTTCAAATATTAGCCATTGGTGAGATACTAGATGCTGGTGTCTCATTGCGGTTTTTTTTTTAATGTGTAGTTGGACACATTATCTTTATTTCACTTATTATTATTTTTTTTAATGTGGTGCTGAGGATCGAACCCAGGGTACTGCACATGTGAGGCGAGCATTTTACCGCTGAGCCACAATCCCAGTCCCTCATTGCAGTTTTGATTTGCATTTCTCTAGAGAGTAGTGATGTTGAGCATCTTTTTTTGGTGCTTATCAGCCTTTTGTATCTTCTTTAGAGAAATGTCTAAGTCCTTTCTCATCTTTAAAGAGGGCTGTTTTTTTTTGTTATGTATTCTGAATATTGATTCTCTACTAGATATGTGACTGGCAAATACTTTATTCCATCCTGTGGTTGCTTTTCACTCTCTTGATTATGTTCTTCTTCTTTTTTTAAGGACACAATATCTTTATTTTGCTTATTTATTTTTTTATGTGGTGCTGAGGATTGAACCCAGTGCCTCACCTGTGCAAGGCAAGCACTCTACTGCAGAGCTACAACTTCAGGCCCTTGATTATGTTCTTTAATATGCAAAAGTTGAAACTACTTATACATGGGAAATACAGAAACTGTGCCAAATACAGAAACTGTACCAATTTCATGACTGCAGATGAAAATATTGTTTTCATTGTTATTATTTCTTGTCTACTTGTGATAAATGTTTAGGAGGAGCCACAAGAAAATAGTGAGTAAACTATCTGGGGATTCCTTATCACCGCAGTTCACTCTCCAGATGATTCTTTGTTCCATCTACAAGGATTGCTGAAGATGAAAAGGTGTCATGATCTGGGGACACAATAAACCAGTTTCACCTGAAACTCAAATTGCTACTAGAAGATAAGTTCTGAACAGAGGAGCCCCAAACAGAACTTCTGTAGTAAAATGGGGGTAATTTTGGAGTTGTTTATTGCATGGTAGTGGAGTAAAGAGAGAAAAATATTCCTCTTCACATCCTTAGGTTGAATTCTAATAGCTCATGGAACTCAGGGACAAGGTAGTTTATTATTCTGTCTCCTTTAGAACTTGAGGATTATAGCACCAGAGAGGTCTAGATACCAATTTCAAAGAGCGAGGAATAAACATAATATCGAATGAATAAATTTTAGATAGAAAACAGGGGTCCCATTCCCAGGTGGCAAACAAGGAAACTCAGTGGCTTTATATCACTCTGCTTCATGAAACCCTTTCTGGCTGTAGCAGGATTTCTGAGACCTCTGAGAGATGAATTCAGGAGCAAATCATATTCTTTGTGGAATTGCGTTGGTTGAATTTCTATCTTCATTGGGTTTTATGAAATAGGAAAATGGTTAAAATTCATGCTTTGATTAGCAAAAACTGGAACCTTAGAAATTGGAATGAGATTATCTGCGAAGAGCCAAAGATGAGGAGGACATCTGTCACTGGGGTCACCCATCTCCCCACCAAATACTTTTTACTGTTCTCTTATTTCCCTGGTTGGACAAACCTGACAGGTCTTTAAGAGGAAACTTAGCATAGAGGAAGGGATTGAGAGGCTGGACCGACTATTAAGGCCAGAAAGAGGAACTCTGGGGACTATATTTTGAGAAAAAAATGTTGGCTGTGGGAACAGCATGCTACTGATAAGGAGAAATTTCTCTACTTAGCCACCCAGTGTCATGGGTAGAGAAACCGCAGTGTGCTTAGAATTAAAACAACTGTGACACTTTTTGTTCAAATGGGTGTGCTCAGGGACACCCTTAACTGAGTGTAAGCTGGGTGGAGACACCTTTAAGACCTGCCTTGAAGACACCCTGAGGTACTAGATAGCAGATATATGGGGGATGGCATTGAAATATTTTTAGTGGCAGTGACTTTTTAGCAACCACTGAGGATTGAGATAACCGTTTCTGTTTTTCCTGGGAGGGGTGTTTGTGAGCTACTTCTCCACAAAGAACAAGAGTGATTTATACCTATGTGCCAGAGAAGCTAGTGATTTTCAGAAATACTGAAAGAAGAGATTCAAGTGAAAGACTAAATGTGTTGCTGAATATCTGCAGTCTTTGAGAATGAACATTGATTTAATGATAATGTGACCCCAATTGTATTTACAGTCTTGTGACATTTAGGACTTAGTGCTTAAACCATGCTGACTTTGAATGAAGGAAAATATTCTCATTGGGTTATAATGGAGGAATACCTAGGACGTACTGTGAGACTCGTTGCTCTGCCTTGCTGCCTGAATTTTCTACTTTTCTCTGTACTGCTGTGTTTATGAGAGAAGATGGAATTGACCCTCTGAGTCAGGGAATCCCAATGTTCTTTGGCTCCTGGGGACATGCTATTTTGGCAATGGCTGCTTTGACATCCTTGTTTCTCAGTGTGTAAATGAGGGGGTTGAGGACAGGTGTGAGAATAGCAAAGGCCACATTGCCCATGATGTGGAAGTCCAGGGGCAGGTCAGCCCTGTAGGCCACATAGGCCACGGCAATGGACGAGTAGTAGGTGCCCACCACCAGGAGGTGGGAGCTGCAGGTGGAGAAGGCCTTGGAGCGTCCTTCTCGGGAGCTGATGCGAAGCACCGAGGCCAGGATGTGAGCGTAGGACAGAAGCACCAGGAGAAGGGGGAGGAAGGAGACCACCATGGCGATGCAGAAGCCCATGAGGGCCTGGGGGGTGGTGTCGGAGCAGGAGGCCTGGACCACGGCCAGGTGGTCACAGAAGCAGTGATAGATGTAGGCAAGGTTGTCGAATGCCATCTGGGAGGTCTGGACCACTGCTGGGATGGGCAGGAGGAGGGCGGTGAGCCAGGCACTGGCCGCCAGTGCAGCGTTAGTCTGTGGGGTCATGTGGACGGGGTAGTGCAGTGGGCGGCAGATGGCCACGTAGCGGTCATAGGCCATGACCACCAGGAGGAAGGCTTCTGAGCAGCTGAGGCCATGGAACAGGTACATCTGCAGAAAGCAGGCCGGGAAGCTGAGAAGGCGGTCCCCAAGCAGGAATAGGGACAGCATCTTGGGGATAGTGGTTGTAGTAAAGAGAATGTCCAGGGCTGAGAGATTAATTAGGAAGAAGTACATAGGCTTGTGGAGGCTGGGCTCTGCCACCATGGCCACCAGGATCAGGGCATTGCCCACTAGGATGAGTAGGTAGAGGAGAAGGAAGATGAAGAAGATAGGAAGGAAGAGGGATTTTGGAAGAGAAGGAATGCCCGTAAGGTAGAAGATGACGGAGGAGTCCCCTGATCCATTACAGGGTGTGATCTCCATGGTGGGTCAATGCTGGAGGCTCAGGAGGTGAGTCGTGGGAACATCTGGGAACCAGGCTCACTGGAAAGAAAACAATCTGAAATTCTGGAATGAGAATTACAGAGTAATCAATCTATAATTAATATAATCATGTTTATTGACAAGTAATTATAGCGGATAGATAATGGGACTGTCCTATCCCCAGACTCTTCATCCTATTCTGTAATTCCCTCTTTCCTTTTAAAATTAAGTATAGAAAAAATACCTACAATGTACAACCATGTTTCATTTGCTAGGCGTACAGTAGAGAAGTGGAACAAGCAGGAGAAGGTTTCTAACCTCATGGGGCTGAAATTTTAGTAGCAAAGAAATACATTCAGCAATGAATCATATAATTACTTAATTGCAGTTGTGTTAAGTGCTGTGGAAGAACTTCTGTGTTCTTTTTCATGTTCCATATGACCCTTTGGGGGATATCGGATCTCTTAAGCCAGGACCCTAATTCCCTTTCTCTTTTGGCACTACTTCAAGTTTTTGGTTTTTTTTAATAAAAGGACATCTTTGTCACAGTGTAGCTAGGGAGAACTGATTTTCTACACACTCTGCCTTCCCGCTATAATTATTAACCAGGGACTGGCTTCTTTCTCTTGTTTGCTTGGGGTCGTGGTTCTTCTGTCTCCATCTAAGCTGAGTCCTCAGGTCCTGTCTCTGGGCATTGGGCTCTTTTCATTGTTAACAGTGAAGGAAGTGACTCTTGGTAGGAAGGGTGATTCCTGACTGGGGTCCGGGTAATACCTTCTCCCAAAATTCTGCTAAGAGAATCCAGACAATCTCTGCAATTTCACAGAATATTCCTCCTCAGTGACTGCTGCAGCCAGCAGGAGCTTGTGCTTGACCACTCAACTAACCCTGTCCAGCAGGCGCCCTGGGGAGCCTTGCTGATAGAGATGACCTGGAGATGACCTGCTCCCAGTAGCTGCTCCAAGACAAAAGGATCTCTCCCAGAGGAATCAAAAATGAGTGCTTCAACCCAAAACCTAGGGATTTTGAGCTAAAGGAAATACTGATTTCTTCTCTTTTGTAGGCTTGTCCTTTGGACAAGTGACCCTCATGTCAAATTTGTATCATTCTCTCCTTATTCCTGATGATTCCATGTGCAGTTTTCCTCAGTCACTTTTAACGTTCCATTCTTTTAACAAAAAAAAAAATCTCTCATGTGTAAAACCAATAATATCAAAACTGGAAAATACTTTAAAATTTTTTTAAATACTTCTCCCATAGGCCAGAGACTGTGTAGAGAGAGGGCAGGGGCTTTCCCAGGTGCTACAGCCACTGGCTATACAGCTAGGAACTGGGCCAGATCCTTGATTCCCAGGACAGTGCTTTTCTTCTCTACATTTTTTTATTGGAGAATCTACATTTTTTACTGGGATTCATATTTCCAAGGGGAAAACATTAGGACAAAGAATTCTGTTTCCCCCCCCCCCTTTTTTTAAATTGTTAATATCAGACAAAACCAAATTTCAACTTTTCCTCTGGATTTCTCTATGGTAGATACTAAATTGGTTTCTGGCAATGCCAATGCTTCCTTGAAGTAATGTCCTAGAACCAGGCAAAAGAATGAGACTGCTTTGTCCCAAATTCAGAGGGCTGTCCCTCAATTAGTCATACCTCATTCAAACAGATTCTGTAAGTAGGAGGGACACAAACCGTACCTCCTTGGACATTGTGGCACCTAGAAGAAGCCATGGGCTGTTGTTTCTGGGTTAGGCTGAATTGGGACATTGGAGGAACAGAAACTCAGAAGTTCAAAACTAAAGGGACCCTAGTAGGCCACCAAGTCTAGCTGTCCTTCCTTCTCTCTCCTCTGTACACTGTTTTTTTTTCAGATGCTAAGATCCTGGTGGAGAGATGGTCCATGGATTTTCATTGTTGGACCATCTAACAGGAAGCCCAGGCTTAGGTCACCAACAAAGTAGGGTCATCAAAACTACTTTTCAAAAGATTTAACATTTAATACTTCAAAGCATAGTCAACTAGTTCATCATAGGAAATATTGGAATTTGGCTGGGCTTTCTAACACTTATTTTACAGTTCAAGGTTGTGTTGTTCTGATTTATATGCTACCTCTAAGGAATACAATCCTGTGCTTAGGGCCAAAAGGACTCTATCTCAAGGCACAGATCTTGCCTGTAGGAATTATCTATAAGTCAGCTATAGGGGGAAAAGACAGAAAGTCACCTGAATGTCCAACCTGCACTTTTATGAGCATCTCCTCTCTTCACACAACCCTGCCAAGGAGGGGTTATGTGGCTTCAACAAATGAAGAAACTGAGGGTCAGAGAAGGACAGGCCACAGCTGATAAGGGGCGAGAACAGAGATTGTTTCTGTAGCCAGCCTGCTGCAAAAGGCTGAGCCCCTCCTAGAAACCAAGATCCTGGCTCCTGGAGCAGTCTTGCTGCTTGCTTATTGTGACCTTGAGCCCCTGAGTCTTTGTTTTCTAGTCTGTTCAGTGAGGGGTTTGAGGAAAGGATCCCTGGAGGGTTTCCAATTCGATGAGCCATTTTCTGTGTGTCTTCTCTGTGCTTGGCAGAGCAGAGCTTTCAGGGACAGATGTTGCATGATCCATGCCCAAAAGTGGAAGAGAGAGCGCTCTTCGGCTTAGCTAGCCCTCTCTGCAAGGCCGCAACCTCACCTTCATTATGCCACATGCAGCGTAGTGGTTCTAACTTGGGAGCTAGAGAGGGCTAGATTCCAATCCCTGTTCCTACCTCCAGCTGTGTGACATTGGACAAATCACTTTCCCCTCTCTGAGCCTTGTTTCCCTCTCTGAAACCTCATAGGGTTTTCTCTATGGAGAGAATGATGAGGCAGTGCTTACAAAGAGCTTGGAACTTGTAAGAGCTCAAGGTTTGCCATGTTTTCAATGGTTTCTGCTGTGGTCAGCTTTGTCTTTGTGTGGGAAGGCCTTAGCCAAGATGGTTTGAATTCCTCCAGTGAACACACCTCTCTTCCCCTGATATACTGAGGTATCTGGCCCAAGGTTTCACAGCTCTGGATTCTGGGTGCCTGCCTCTGTGTATATCCAATTCATCTTCCTAACCTCTGGCCCGGGTTTGTAGCCCATGGGTCCCCCTGTTCTTGTCTTTCCATCCCAGCTTTCTCTGCCTGTCTCTGGGCACTCCATCCCCAGCAACATGTACCTGCTGAGCCTGGTCCACACTGGTGTGTTCTATAGTTCTCCACGTGAGGCCTTGGTGGAAGTAGCAGACTGGGGCTGAGACACGGCCCATTAAACCCTTGGGCCCCTCCTTTCAGGCAGACCTCTTGAGGTACTTTCCCTAATACTAGTGCTCCCCCGGCACCACACCTACCATCCCTCAGGAATCACATCCTGGCGTCTCCTAGAGCATGAATGATGTGAGGAGTTAGGATTTGTCCCCAGGCTTTGATGATAGTGAAATCATTGTTAACAGCCCTCAAGGGTGTGGAATTTTATACTAGTGTATTTTTATTCTCATTAACCCATTTGATATTCTCAATGGTAGAGGAGAAGGAAGAAACAACAGGGCATATAGGAAGTCCAAGAGAAGGAAAATGAGGTCCAGGAGCTGAAATAACTTGTCCATTTTAACACTGGTGTCTATAGGCAGAGCTAGTATTCAGACCCAGGGCCCTATTCCATGCGTCCTCATCTCTATAATGGGATTACATACTGGTCAAGAGGATTGGGTATGGAGCTATTAATTATTAAACATCTTCCTGTAATGGTTTGCTGACTTTCCATTAACTTTTACAATTGCACATAGAAGTACTAATATATTCTCCAGAGATTTCTCTGGTTCTAGAAATAATTCTCCTTCCCATTACATAGCCACAATTGTGTTCCCTCTTTGTCCTCAGATATATTAGCTGTACCCTTCTTTGCCTGTTAATTCAGTTGCATGTGGAGTCCTAAAGCTTAGGTGGCTATCTCCACTTACAGTTCAATGAAATGATTATTTCATTTCTGGCAGAAATGTAAAGAAGGAAGGAAGGAAGGAAAGAAGGAAAGGAGGTAGGGAGGAAGGAGGGAAAGAGAAAGGAAGAAAGGTGGGTGCATTCCACACTTAGGAACTAAAAGGTATAAACTAGCAGAATTTGAAGTTGAGGAGAAGCAAGCAAATATTTTGCAACTGGGTTCTTAAGGCTAGTGAGAACCTGCTTCTTGGTTTCCAGACTTGTGTGTTCTGGCCATATATTCTGCTCTACATTTTGACTGCTAGTTCAGCTTGTCAGGCTGTGCCCATACCTGCCAGGGATTGCTATCTGGCCAGCACCCAAAACTGTCTTTAGGAGTGCAGGTTATTCTCCATTCTTAAACCAATCTAGTTGCTTCTGAGAGATGGGATGCATTGTAAGGTTAGTGACTCCTATGTGCATGAGATTTACTGCTTCACCTCTTTTGCTATAAATTGAGTTTCTTTGTCAAAAGAAGGGCATATGGGATATCATCATGATGAATAAGGCATTTATTAAATCTTTAGAAGGTGAAACTGGCAGAAACACTGTGAGCAATAAAGGCAAATTCATACCCAGAATAGGATTCTACTACAATAAAGACAAACCACTTCCCCCAGATGATGAAAGAGATCCAGTGAAATGAACCTGCCACCCGTGGGGATGAGTGTCCTTGAGTGATGGTTCACGCATTGTGCGTGGCATATTTGATACTTATCAGAAACTTAGCCAGATGAGCCCTGATGAACCCACGTATAACCCCCATCCACACTACTGTGATAGACACTGATTGACATCCATGGGATGGATCATCTTATCTACTTGATTTTGCTTACTCTTGCTGATTTTGGAGATGTAAATATCTCCAGCATTTGCACTCATTCTGAGAGGTCTACCACCTCAACTCAGCCTCCTCTCCATCAATTCATCCACCCTTTCCTTCCTTTCCTTCCTTCTTCCTTCCCTTCACCTCACCCACTTTCCTTCCTTCCTTCCTTCTCTTTCCAGCATGAGGAATTAC